TACTCACACTAGTTAAGAGTTGTGGAAGGAAACCTCATTTGTATACGCTCATGAAGAAGGCCAGCTACGCCACCAGCAAAGATTTTGGCAGAAGATCAAGTTCAAAGACATACTGCTGATACCTATCATACAAGTTCAAAACATCCAGATTATAACAGTCAAGCTTCATGTACATGAAAGAGATAGAACAAACAATGCATATTGAAAAATTGCAAGTCCAAACACATCGGATTCCCACTGCGTCAAGCAACAGCCTACTGGTATCAATTTCAAACAACGTCATCAACAACACCCGCTCAGACATCTACAATAACATTCGCAAACAAGCACATTCATACCAACTGCAAGCAAACATCAACGATGTCAATTACATCGGCATCAACAAACACATCAGCACAAGTGCCTACAGGCAGCAAGCATCACAATATCGGTGTGCAATCCGCAGACATCAACATCGTAACAGTGTTACAGAACAAACAACAGCTAAGCTGATATGCAATTCCCGCAAGAGAATTCTATGAGGAGTTCTCCAACCTCAAGATGCACATTCCTAACTTAACTCAGGTTGCTTCTGAATATCATACAACCCTAGAGGAAAGTCCCCAACCTACAGAGAATTGTCCAAAGATCAATATGTTATACAGACAAAAGCATAGATGTATCAACATAAAGAAGCGTACAACTCAGCCTCAAAGCCATACCATCCAAACCTGTAGTATGAGCCGCTATTAGCCAGGCTTGTGCATCAAGAAAGAAGCCACTCCATTCGGTCCGCAACCACTCCTTTGCAGCTTGGTTCCTTATCTTCTTCAGACTTTGCTCAGTCTTGACATCAAGGAAACAGAGATAATTAGCCTTTGAATTTACGTGGAGGAGTTTTCAAACTCAGAACTGTTACCAACAATGAACTTTGGGCTACCCAATTCCATCACCGTATTCGTTCTGGGCTGCTGAGTTCCCCTTGGCCCAAATCATTTGCTAAATCCACACCTGCCCACACCAAATTTGAGTTAGCAAAATCATCAGAATATCCGCTCAAAGAAGATTCGATGCAACAGCTAAGCAAATCAAGGCATTAACCAGATTGATACAAGATATCACAGATTGGGATTTTCATTAACACATATAACCACAATCAGACGAGAGAGGAAAGTGTTCAAATTCATGTCTGAACCAAATAGGAAACCCTAAATCAAATTCAATCAGCATTCAAGTCAATATTCAATACTCATCCAAATCGTTTTCGTTCAAGAGGCCTATATAAGGAGGCTAGTAGAAGAAGAGATGTCATGAAAAAACCGATCATACGAAATCGTAGCTACCGCAAAACCTAATTTCATAACCGAGGAATTGGAGCAAGGAGACTTATCTTTTCAGCTCGCGAAAGTTGTCCCCAGTCGCCGCAAACACCAATCGACGGAACTCCACCACCAGCCGCCACTCCCAAATTTCGGTAAAACCATCATGCATATTGAAATTCCTTACGCTATTGATACTCGATGTTTTTGTTGCAGGTTCTAGAATGAAAGCGGAGATGAAAACGAAAGAGAAAAAGAAGGAGAGTCGATTTGAGAATCAATTTGAGAGAGGCTATCTGGGATACAAAGGGGCTAGGGTTCACTCTGTTCCTAAATTTTCGCAATTACGTTATGATTTTACACCACGTTCACAGACACACACTACCATAATCCCTAATCATCTCCTAATCCGTTAATTTAACCTATTTTAACTATCATTTAATTAATCCATGCTAATAATCCATGTTAATCAACCGTTAATTGGGTTTCCACATAACTAATAACTGTTTTAATTAACCAACTTTTATTTAACAAATCATTTTATAATTTTATTAATAATAACTCTTTTGGTTTTTTTTTCATTTAAAATCAGTTAACCCATTAAAATGATTATTAATTTTAATAATTTAGTTTGTTTTTTATTAGATATATCTTATACCTTTTAATTAATAAATCTTAAATAATTTGACTTTTTTTGAAATAATAATAATCTCTTTCATTGTGTTAATTATTAATTGATATTTTAAAATAGAATTTTATTATACTCACTCATCAAACCTTTTATATAGTTTATGTTATATTAAAACTCTTAAGAATAAACAACCTTTTTATAATCAACTTCTCGCATTAGGATAAATTATTTTACTTAATAAACTAACCGGGATAACGTCTTATTAGGCTTTAGACATTAATTTTAAATCTCACCTAAAATCAAATCAACCAATTAAAATAAATCAATAGCGTAAACATACAACCTAATCGTGCACACTCACATTCACGACACATTCACTCTCACACACTTCAGCGCTTTCATGCGTATGTGTATGCTTTACTTATTTGCCCTTTATTATTTCCGCAATTTATCTTACAAGCAATTTACATTATCGCATTTACATTTCCGCATCGCATATGTCCAAAGGAAAAACCTATACATGATTCAACGCTTGTGTGTAGTGCACATCATTTGCATCATTCTCCCCACATGATCCTTGATCACATTCAAGTCGATCTTTAAATTAGATCCTACCCCATAGGAAGGACCTTTTACAACTTAGACAAACACAAACAAAACAAATCAAACAATATTCAAACATTCAACAACTCAACATTCAAAACTCAAACACATTAGAGAAAGACGTCAATCATCTTAAGTGAGATAGAACCTCCACCCCCACAACAATACAATCAAGCCGTAAGGACTTTGCCTTAAGAGAAATAAAGGCATACTCGTCAAACAATCCGAGTACTTAAGCCCCTTTTCTTAAGACGATGCAAAGACTTTTTTCCTACAATTTGTGGCGGTTAAATCTCCCTTAAAATGAAGACACATCTCTTCTTCTGAAATCAATCAAACAACTACCCTAAACCCGTAGGAACTTTGACCACAGTCAAAGAACTCCTCAAACCCTTTAGGGGAACTACAGATACTCTGATTCCACTCCCATAAGGATATGTAGGCATAAGATGCGACATCTTATCGAGTATACTTAGAAATAAACCCCTAGGTCTTTTTAACCATTAAGCAGATAAACATTTAACAATAAACAATATAAAACAAGAGGTTCCTGTAGAGTACTACAGAAACTTAGGATGCTAGTACCTTCCCTAAGTTTAACCAACCCCCGAACCTATAACTCTCAACCTTGCATTTGCATTGCATTGTGGGTATTTCGATCTTTATCCCTTCCTTTGGACAAATCAAAGTTCGGTTGCAAAAGTGAATTAAAGATTCAAACTAATCAATAGTTTGGTATCCGATTTTCACAGCGACAATTACCATAGAATAAGGGTGTTCATTTTTCTTGTACAATTTACTCCAAATTACTCAAAGTACCCGCGTGTAGAGAAACGAGTTCGAGAGAATGTACGTGATGCAACACCATTTCTTTTCATCAATGCAATTTATGTATCTTTATCATTTGTATGTTGTTGTTTATTCTGCACTTTATCTTGCATGTTCTCCTTTAAATTTTATCTTTCATGTTTAAATGCTTTTTTCTGAACTTTATCTTTCGTATTTACATGTTCTTCCTTGAAACTTTATTTTTAATCTTTACTTTCAGTTGATTTTCTTCTGCATTTTATTTTAACTTGCTTTTAAAAGTCTTTTTAATTGCCCTCGACTGTTACTTTCCTCCATTTTTCTAAATATTTGTCTTCACACTTACTTTCTTGCACTTTTATCAAATTCAAGCCTTTACATCATTGCTTTTATTTTCAAAGTTTTTTACATCATTGCCTTTATTTTCAAAGTTTTTTACATTATTGCTTTTACTTTCGACGTCTTACACACTTACTTTCTTGCACTTTTATCAAATTCAAGACTTTACATCATGGCCTTTATTTAAAAAGTCTTTTTAATTGCTTTTGACTGTTATTTTCCTGCATTTTTCTAAATATTTGTCTTCACACTTATTTTCCTGCAATTTTATCAAGTTCAAACCTTTTACATTATTGCTTTTACTTTCGTCGCTTTAAGAATTGCACCCTTTATTTTAAGCCTTGTCAACTTCCAAGTTGTTTTTTACTTTACCAAGTTTTTATAGTCGAGCGTGAAGTTCCTTTAGAAAATAGTCGAACGTGGAGTTCAATTTAGATTTTCTTTTAAACTTAGCAGATGTCCTAGGATTTGTATGGTCGATCATGCAAGTTACTCAATTTCACCCAAAGTTGATAGACCAGAGGTTGTTTACCAATATTCACAGTAAACACATAGCATAAGTTTAATAAAAGTGTTTAAAGGCAATATATATATATATATATATATATATATATATATATATATATATATATATGAAGTAAAACTAATTTTTTGTTCAATGTATGACAATTTAGTAATTTCTAATAAATACCATAACTAGAGTGTTATGGTTATAAGTAAGTAAAATCATGTTTAATTATATATGTATTATTATGTCTACAAGTATGTCAATTTCAACTTAATAATGATTGTTTTCATGATATATTAAATCAACTATTTATTTGTTGTTATTCAAAATTTCATATAATCTATTTTTTAATTTAAAAATTCTAAAATAAAATTATCAAATTAAATAATAATTTTCCGTTTTCAATTAGTTTTATAGAAGAAAAAATTAAGTAGTCACTCTATTACGTAATCCTTCATTTTCACATGTGTCACAATTGTGTCTCTCTTTAAATAAAAAATAATTTGAAGCATGTGTCTTACTTATGCCACAATGGATCAAGAGCAATTGAATTTTTTAAGGAACCATATTTACCACACGCCCAACACAAGCAGCCACACTCTCTCCATTCTTCCAAATCTACCCCTAATTATATATAAAAACACTTTAGCTTAAATGCAATAAAGTAATTTCGTCATTTTTCACATCTAAACTATGAAATATTCTCTATCTATAAAGCCTCTCAAAACCTCTCGTTATAAGAAACACTCATTTCTCACATCACATCATAATCACTCTCCAAAAAGTTCACTTCAGTTGTTTCTTTCACAGAAATATGGTAAGAAACAACCCCAACCTTGTAGTTACAACCATTCTATTTCTATTATTATCATTACCATTAGTCTCATGTGAAGAATGTTCATCGAAATACGAAGGTGGTTGTCACGATATAAATGAAGCATTAAAGTTAAAACTAATCGCAATATTTTGCATATTGTTGTCAAGCATGATTGGTATTTGTATTCCAATTTTCACATCTTCGATTCCTGCTTTAAAACCTGACGGAGACTTATTCATTATTATAAAAGCTTTTGCCTCTGGTGTTATACTTGCTACCGGTTATATGCATGTGATGCCAGATTCATTTGAGGATTTAACTTCTCCTTGTTTGCCTCAACACCCTTGGCATAAATTCCCATTCACCACTTTCATTACTATGATATCTGCCATTTTTACTCTCATGGTTGATTCATTTTCTTTAAGTTATTTTAAAAAGAAACTTCCTATGTCTTCTTCTTTGAATAATTTGAAAATGACAAAGGAATTGGAAGATGGTCATGGTCATGATGGTCTTGCAATTGCAAATGGACATGGCAAGAATGTGAATGCCGAACAATTGCTTCGTTACCGTGTTGTGGCTCAGGTTAATTTATTTATTTGTCATTAAATCTTATATGTAGAGCTTTTTGTTTCTTGTTTTGTTGATATGATGTGTATGTAATTGGGTTCAGGTTTTAGAGTTAGGAATTGTGGTGCACTCAGTAGTAATTGGTTTGTCAATGGGTGCTTCGGAGAACCCTTGCACTATAAAACCTCTCATTGCTGCACTTTGCTTCCATCAACTCTTTGAGGGAATGGGTTTGGGTGGTTGCATACTTCAGGTATTATTATTATTATTATTATTATTATTATTATTATTATTATTATTATTATTATTATTATTATTATTATTATTATTATTATTACTATTATTATTATTATTATTATTATTATTATTATTATTATACGACTCTAATGTCTTGTGGTACATTTTTTATAGGCTGATTATGGAGTGAAGATGAAAGGGATAATGATATCTTTTTTCTCAGCGACGACACCATTTGGGATAACATTAGGGATTGGATTTTCAAAAGTGTATAGTGACACTAGTCCAACTGCACTAATTGTAGAAGGGGTTCTAAATGCTATATCTGCAGGGCTTCTCAATTATATGGCACTTGTTGATTTATTGGCTAATGATTTTATGGGTACGAAGTTGCAAAATAATATCAAGCTTCAATTATTGTCTTATATAGCTGTTTTGCTAGGCGCGGGAGGCATGTCGGTCATGGCAATTTGGGCCTAAAATATAATAAACTTAGTTTAGTTCATACTCACAAATTTCTTATGTTAGTTAGTTAGAATGTAACCATTTTTTAAGAAAAATATGGTTTACTATTATTCTAGTTTAGTCTAGGAATCACGTTTTTGTGACTTTATTATTTGATGGAATATGGTTAACATGTTTATAGTTCATTCTGATTTTGTTTATTGGTGTAGTTTTTATTTTTTTTACATGTTTTGTTATTCATTTATTTGCTTCCAAGCATTCTATAATCCATAAAAGAATTTTTATATCCTCATTCTTTCATGAATAAAAGTTTATAAGCAATTAAAATTCATTAAAGGCCATCAAGTTCTTTCCCTGACTCATATATTAAAAAAATAAAGTATATTTGCCACAAATAAATATAACACAATAAAAACATTTTTCATTGATCAATATAAAAAATGGAAAATAAATATATTAAAAATAAAAATAAGCATAAAACATATACGACAGAATTATACAAAAAAGTTATAAGTTAGTACGAGTTAAATTTAACCATATTAAATTGTACTTTATTGTGTCTTATTCATAGATTCATTGTATTTCTGTTTTTTATTTTATTTTTAAATCATACTTTAAAAATATGTTTAACTATATATGTATTGTTATGTCTACATGTATGTCGATGTCAACTTAATAGTGATTGTTTTCATGATATATTAAATCAACTATTTATTTGTTGTTATTGAATATTTTGATTAATCAATTTTTGATTTTAAAATTCTAAAATAAAATTATCAAATTAAATAATATTTCATAGTTTTTTTATTAGTTTTGTGAAAAAAAAATGTTAACTAGTCACTCTCCCATGCAATCCTTCATTTTCACAAGTACCGCAATTGTGTCTCCCTTTCAATGAATAACAATTTAAAGTGTGTCTCTTACTTATACCATGATGGATCAAGAGCAGTTCAGTTGTAACGCCCCGATTCTGAATTCCCATTAATTGTTGGGTCTTTTAATTTATTTATTTGATGTTTGTTTTTAAATTGAGAAAAATTATATATTGTTATTATGTGGTGTTTGCTTATTTTATCTATTTTTACCGATTCGGAGAGTTTCGGGGAATTAGAGTAAAAAGGGCATTTTAGACATTTAGCACTTTAGTGTGAGAATTGATTGGTAAGTGTTGGAAAGAATTTGAGAGGAAAGAAATAGAGATAGAAATAGAATAAGAGAGGAAAAGGAAGAAAGATAGTAACATAAGAAGAAAAAAAAAACAAGAGAAAGAAAAGAGGAGAAGAGAAAGAGAAGAGAAAGTGGAGAGGAAAACCTAGAATCATCAAGGGATCATCACCAAAGCTTGCAATCGATCGGTAAGGGTGTGAAACTCCATCATCTCTTTAATGTATATGATTGTATGTGTATGTGTGTGGATGTTGTAGAGTTTCTACTCTTTTTCCACTTAGGTTAGAAGTTGGTTTTGTGAGTAGAATGACGTTTTAATCGGTTAGAACTCGGATTAGATGATGTAGTTTAGTCGGGTGATGGTTGGGTTGTGCTACTGTGACTGGTTTGGATTTAATCGGTCGGTTGTGTGGAGTTTGGGCTTTGAGACAGCCATGGAAGTTCTGTCTTCGCAAGTTCGCCAGGCGAATGGCAGCGAAGCTTCGCCAGGCGAAGCCCAGCGAGCTGTAGCGAAGCAAGTCAGAAGCTAATATTCTGTATTCGCTGGCAAGTTCGCCAGGCGAAGTGAGTTGGCGAAGGTTCGCCAGGCGAGTGGGTAGCGAGCCTCAGCGAGTAATTCCAGAATTACTCCCAGTGGACTTCGCTGGGAAGTTCGCCAGGCGAAGGCCAGCGAGCATTCGCTGCGTGGCTTCGCCAGGCGAAGGTTGGCGAACCTGGCAGTGTTATTTTGTTTTGCTGTTTGTTCATAGCATGATGTTTGGTTGATTCAATTATGATTAATGCCTATATGAATGATTGATGTGTGAACTGTTTGACATGTCGTGCTGTGGGTGGCCGAAAGGCGTGAATCCTAGATTGTAGAGTAAATGATAAATCTTGAATACTTGATAATCTTGTGTATTTGCTCGAATTGAATAGAAACGCATTGATAGGCTAATATGTGTGTAAACCATGTGTGGAATGGTGTATAATGTGAATGCATGATAAATATATGCTATGTATGTGATAAATGCAATGAGTATGTTCGTGAGCATAGTATGCATTTTTGTGTCGATTGATCCCTCGGAGGATTTGCAGAACCTCGTATGATATGATGGTTATATTTGATTCCTTGGAGAATCGGTTGCATTATGTGATTCCTTGGAGAATCGGTTGCATTGTGTGATTCCTCGGAGAATCGGTCATAACATGTAATCCCGTGGAGGATTGGCTAGAGTATTTGATTCCGTGGAGAATCTGCTGAGTACTTGATCCCGTGGAGGATCTGCTGAATATTCGATTCCGTGGAGAATCTGATGAATATTTGATTCCGTGGAGAATCTGCTGAGTACTTGATCCCGTGGAGGGTCTGCTGAATACTCGATTCCTTAGAGAATCTGTTGAATGAGTCGGTACCGCATTTGCATCTGCATAGAGTCGTGTGTCGGTCTCTATGAGTTGCATGAGTCATCTGTGTATGATGCATTAGTTGTGTGAATATAACTGTGTATGTTATATATGATTGTTTGGAGGAAAATATAGTGAATGTTCATGTGTATGTGTAGAGACATGATTATTTGTATATGCTTAATGTGGTGAGAACATAATTTGAGTATAACTTGTACAAATGTGAGTATATGTATATATACAATTTTATGCATTAACTGTTATGATGTTGTTTCTCACCCTTCTGCTGTTTTATGATGCTCTATGAGGCATTGCAGAGTAGGAAGCTGGAGGTTCTTTTTGTGAAGCGATGTCTTCATTCTTTTTGGTCAATGGCTCTGATATGTAACATCTGGGTAGTTAGGAAGCCTTTGACTCTTTTGGAGTTACATTTGTTTTGATTCTTTTGTGATACATATGTGTATGTATCTGCTGTGGATATGTTGTAAAGCATGAATTAACTGATGGTTGTATATACTTTTATGAATGAGATCGATTCAATATTTGGATGTTTCCGCTTTATTCTAAATATTGAGATGTGGGTTACCCATTGTTGCATATCTATTTTGAGCAGGTATCGTATGTGTTTAATTTCATGATAATGTGATGCGCCTCTTATATACCATGTTTTAATTAAACTCTGATGAAATAAATTTTCTAAGTGCCTAATTGATTTATTTGATTAATTTGGGGGTATAGAAAGGGGGTGTTACATTAAGTGGTATCAAAGCCAGTGTTGAGTCAGTCGTGTCTGTCTTGTTGTTGTGTTGGTTGAACGGTTGTTTAACCTTGTTGTTATTTTTGGGAATCCTCAGAATATGGCAGGTCGTAATGACAATGCTATGGCAGCGGCGTTAGAGGCTATGGCCAGAGCTGTGCAGGGTGCACCTAACGTGAATGCGAATGATGAGTTTAGGAAGAACCAGCCACCGGTGTTCAAAGGGAGATTTGATCCGGATGGTGCTCAGATATGGTTAAAGGAAATTGAGAGGATCTTTAGGGTGATGGATTGTGCTGAAGGGAACAAGGTGAGACTAGGGACTCACATGCTGAGAGAAGAGGCTGATGACTGGTGGGTCAGCGTGAGGCAAGTCCTTGAGGTCGACGATGAGGAGATTACGTGGGATTTATTTCGTACTGAGTTTCTAAGGAAGTATTATCCCGAAAGTGTTAAAGGGAAGAGAGAAATGGAATTTCTGGAGTTGAAACAAGGTAATATGTCGGTGGTGGACTACACCGCTAAGTTTACTGAGTTAGTGAAGTTTCACCCTCACTATGATGCGGTTACGGCGGAATTTTCCAAATGTATCAAGTATGAGAATGGCTTGCGTCCTGAGATAAAGCAAGCGGTGGGTTATCAAAGGATACGAAGATTTTCGGATTTGACCGAGTGTTGCAGAATTTATGAAGAAGACAGTAGAGCTCGTTCTACTCATTATAAGGGTTTGAGCGAAAGGAGAGGGAAGCAGCAAGTACGAAGCGGACCTTATGTGACGCCTGCTGATAAGGGCAAACATAGGGGAAACTTTGATAGGAGACCCGGAGGAGGTTCCGGTGCGATCAAATGTTTTAAGTGTGGCGTGATGGGCCACAAGTCTTATGATTGTGGAAAGTTCAAGGCGAAGTGTTCCAACTGTGGGCTCCTTGGACATGATGCAGCAGAGTGTAGAAAGAATGCTGTGAAGTGTTTTAATTGTGGCGAGGTGGGTCACATTAGCTCGAATTGTACCAAACCGAAGCAAGCTCAGGCGGGCGGAAAAGTTTTCGCATTAGCAGGTTCAGACGCTACTAATGCGGCGGATCGTTTGATTAAAGGTACATGCTTTATTAATGATATGCCTTTAGTTGCTATTATTGATACTGGAGCGACTCACTCGTTCATTTCTCTTGCGTGTGCTAAGCGGTTGGATTTGTGTATGGTTTCTTTGAGTAGTGGTATGGTTATTGGGACTCCCGCTTCGGGGTCGGTAACTACTTCTTTGGTGTGTGCAAGTTGTCCTTTGACCATGTATGGTAAGGACTTCGTTATGGATTTAGTGTGTTTACTGTTGGAAGGTTTGGACGTAATCTTGGGTATGAACTGGTTGCAATTTAATAGAGTTCATCTGGATTGCTATCACAAGTTAGTAAGGTTTCCTTCTTTGGAAGATGGTGAAAACGAGAGTTTTCTTTCCACTAAAGAGTTGAAGAAACTTTTAGCGGACGAAGCTCAGTTGTTTGGTTTGTTTGCATCGTTGTCGGTGGAGAGCAAAGTTGAGCTCGACGTGTTTCCTGTGGTTTGTGAATTTCCTGAAGTGTTTCCGGAAGATGTTACGGATGTGCCGCCAAAGAGAGAGGTTGAATTTTCTATTGATCTAGTTCCGGGTACTAGACCGATTTCGATGGCCCCGTATCGGATGTCGGCATCGGAGTTGGTGGAATTG